CGGCTGGAGACGATATACCGATACCAGCAGGAAATGCGGCAAGACTGGATGACCTTCCAGCAAGAATACCATGATGAAGCCCGGGAGCAAGCGGAATTCCGGGAACATCTATACCAGCAATTCCCCCACCCTGGATCGTCTCCAGAAGATAGCCCTTAGGGACAGTATTTGTAAAAATAAGTGGCTGTAATAAAATTTTTATGAATAAAGATTTTATTTCATACAATTCTTTGCCATTCTTTCCAAAAGTCAGTGTAACAAAAAAAACTAAGAGTAAAAAGACGTACGCTCAAGAAAAAAAGCCAAAATCTTAAATCGCGAGAAAAAAGAGATAAAATCGTGAGAAAAGGCAGGATTAAGACAAGTCATCACCTCAATCGAAAAAGTTTCGACAACCAAGGCAGAGTCGAACAAACAAACAAAAATTGTCCGACCAGTCAGCAAGAGTCGGGTGATCACCACAAAAGATCAAAATCAAAGAATCCCCAGCAAACAAAGCAAGCTGGATGAACACCCACAAAATCCCCGGCGCAGACCGGACGACAACATCTCCAAAGAAAATCAACAAAAAGTACATCTCAACAACCGGCGCATGGGCCACCTGAACAGTAAGCCGCCACTACCACCAGTCCTACACAGTGGACTGTACCAGCCTGATAGGGGGTTTATACCTATCAACCTGCGCACGCGGTGCGCCTGATCTGCGCTCGAGCCGGATCAGTAAGTCGCAATTACTAGCCTGATGGGGGGTTCATACCCATCCAGTTCGACACACAGCGGACTGCTACTACCAGCCTGATGGGGGGTTTATACTCATCAACCGAAGGATCGGCTACCGTCAGAAGGAGTATCTTGAGGTTCTACCACGTGTCCACCGAAGGGATCGGCTACCGTCAGAAGGAGTATCCCGGAAGTGCACGAATACAAAGTTTTCCCCAGAAGATCAACCGCCGCAAGACGGAACATCTGAAGGACAACCGGGCAAGAGGGTCAACTCCTTTACCCTCCAGTCGATCTCCTTGGCACAAAAGGCCAGCAGTCGACTGGTTGGGTAAAGGGGGGGCAGCTGTAGACCCCAAATCTTGCCCGGCTTCACAATAAAGATCAGAAGACCTCCTTTCCGAAGATGGACGAAGCCTAAGAAGCCATTAGGAGAGACTATTAGGCCCCATAATAGGATAGGAGCGATTTTTTGCACAAAAATAAGGATTTTCACCTTTTAGGGTCGAGACCGCCGTCTCAAACTCGAGACCGCCGTCTCAAACTCGAGACCGCCGTCTCAAACTCGAGACCGCCGTCTCGCCTAGCGCAAGTGGCGAGACCGCCGTCTCGCCTAGCGCAAGTGGCGAGACCGCCGTCTCGTTTGGCGAGACCACCGTCTCGCCATTCCTGCAAGGCGAGACGGCCGTCTGGAATGGCGAGACGGTCGTCTCGACCTTGTCAGACGAGACGGCCGTCTCGACCTGACAGGCGCGAATTCCTATAAATAGGGCCTCCATTCCCCTCATTTCTCATAGCTTTCTCACTCTCTCTCTAGTCACATCAAGAGTTTCTCTCTCTAGAATCCCTCTGACGCATTTCCGGAGCTTCTGAGTGTCTTTAGAGTGTTTTTAGAGCGTTTTGAGAGGTTTCCGACGCCGTGTAGAGTGAAGGGCTGCCGCAAAGCACCCTATTTTTAAAGAATTAAATAGAAAGCTTGCTTCGGAGGTCTCTACTCTCTTTCTCTATCTTTTACTGCTTTATTTAAATTATGCAATAGACATTAGGGCCATGTAGTCATAATCTTTAAATTCTGCAAAAATAAAAGGGCAAAAGCGTATTTTTCCGGTTTATTTATTAACAAAATAGCTGGCCTATCATAGGGAACCTGAAAGGGGCGTCGTAAAGGAACTAACACTTCTTTTACGCGTAACTAACTCCCTTACCCAACTCTGGTTCTAATGACCAAAGTTGGTTTTTCAAAAACCAACGCCTTTTAAACTCCTTTTCCGATGTTTCCGGTAAAAACATCGGTGGCGACTCCAGAGAACCCTCAAAAACTAGCTCTTGGATTAGCCCGGTTATCGGACAATCCAAGAGCACCCTTTTGAAAACCTCGCCCCAAGGTTTAGCCCGGTTATCGGACAACCTAAAGGCGTTATAACCACCAATAGAAAACGCGAAAATCAAGAGAGTCGAAACCATCGCGTCGCTCCGACCGCCCTCGTTTTGACGGCGGCGACAACCATAAACCATAAACCCTAACCACTAACCCTAACCCTAACCCTAACCCATATCCCTACACCTAACTCTACCCCTAACCCTAAACCTTAACCCTAACCTAAACCCCTAAAACCTAACCATAAACCTTAAACCTTAAACCCTAAACCCTAAACCCTAAACCCTAGACCTTAACCCTAACCCTAACCATAACCCTAAGCCTAAACCCTAACCCTACCCCTAAACCTAACCATAACCCTAAACCCTAACCCTAAACCATAAAACCCTAAACCCTAATCATAACCCTAAACCATAAACCATAAACCCTAACCATAAACCATAAACCCTAACCATAACCCTAAACCTTAAACCTAACCTAAACCCTAAACATAAACCCTAACCCTAACCCTAACCATAACCCTAACCCTAATCCTTACCTAAACCCTAAACCCTAACCCTAAACCTTAAACCTTAAACCCTAACCCTAACCATAAACCCTAAACCCTACTGCTAACAATAATCATAACCCTAATCCTAAACCCTAAACCCCTAAAACCTAACCCTAACCCTAACCCTAAACCCTAACCCATAACCCCTAAACCCTAACCCTAACCCCTAAAATGTAACCTTAACCCTAACCCTAACCCTAACCCTAAACCATAATCCATAAACCCTAAACCCTAACCCTAACCATAACCCTAAACCCTAACCCTAAACCCTAAACTTAACCATAACCCTAAACCCTAAACCCTAAACCCTAAACCCTAAACCATAAACCATAAACACAAACCCTAAACCCTAAACCTAACCTTAAACCCTAAACCCTAAACCATAAACCCTAAACCATAAACCATAAACCTTAAACCCTAAACCATAAACCCTACACCCTAGACCCTAACCCTAAACCCTAAACCATAACCCTAAACCTAACCTTAAACCCTAAACCCTAAACCATATTCCTAACCCTAACCCTAAACCCTAACCCTAAACCTTAAACTCTAAACCTAACCTAAACCCTAAACCCTAACCCTAAATACTAAACCCTAAACCTTGAACCTTAAACCTTAATCCTAAACTCTAAACCATAAACCCTAAACCCTAAACTCAAACCCTAAACCCTAAACCTAACCTTAAACTATAAACCCTAAACCATAAACCCTAACCCTAACCCTAACCCTACACCCTAACCCTAAACCCTAACATTAACCCTACACCCTAACCCTAAACCATAACCCTAACCTAACCATAACCCTAACCCTAACCCTAAACCCTAAACCATAAACCATAACCCTAACTCTAACCCTACCCATACCCTTAACCCTAACCCTAACCCTAACCCTAAACTCTAACCATAAACCCTAAATCCTAACCCTAACATTAACCCTAAACTCTAAACCCTAACCCCTAACCCCTAGCCCCTAAACCCTAGATCAGAAAATTCACTATTTTTTTATATAAAATATGACTAATTCTGACAACTGTAGCAAAAGTTATGGTTGTTTGAATTTTTCTCAATCGTTTCTTCACCACCCACTTGGAAACCGTATCAAATAAATGAATTTTGACCTGTACTTTTGTATGCACTTAATACATGATGAAAGAAGTGTGGACACCAAAAATGAAGGAAAAATTACTTGAGGAAGTACTTTTTTAGATTTTCCGAAACTAGTGAAAATTGGCACTATTCACAACACATTACATATCAATTTCTAGCCCAAAACAGAACATTGCATGCAATTTTCCCACAATTTCACACTTTAAATAGATGAGTAAAACAAGGTATACAGAAGAATAGCACAAAACACCAACCAGAAAACAACAACCAAAAACAGCAACAAAAAAATTCTGTTGCAGAATTCTATTGCTCCACAAGCTTGGATGAATTCATGTGGTGAATTGTGCAGCAATTTTACAGCAAACAAAAACAACAATTAACAAACAATTCTACTGCTCCTAAGCTTGGATGAAAAAACAATTAACAAAAATAGCAAACTAAATGACAACAACAACCAAATACAACAACAACAAATTTAAGTTACTGTTCCATTGTCTTCCAAGGTGAATTGTGCAGCTAAATTCGAAATTCTTCCTTGCTCCAAAATGTTGCACCTACAAACCTCAATAACAAAACGCAAAAATTGAAAATAAAACTAACCACAATAGTAAATCACACCCAACACGAAATTACATAAATAAACTATTCTAAACTAAAACAAAACATAACACACAACCCCTGACAGAAACTGTTGGTTCCCCGGCAGCGGCACCAAATTTGGTCGGAGCCGTATCTGATCAAATAATGCGATTAAATGTAGTACTAGGCAATTCTTCCTAGGTCGTCTCCCAAGGATCATAAATTTCTGTCAAAAGCTTATCGATTTCGAAATAGATCAGAAATAAGGGGGATTTTTGGTATTTATCAAATTTAATGAAATAGAACACTAACAAATTGTATAAAGCATTCTAGTGCATATTGTCCAAGCTGGGATTTGTTTTGGGTTGCTAACCTACTAAAGTACCCCGGGAAGTCGTAAACATACTATTACTCTTTCCCGCCAAACAGAATGACTTCTAGAAGTTCAACCGACATTAATTTCTAAAAGATTAAAAAAAAAAGTACTTTATCTTTTAAAAAATAAAATTAAAATAATTTTATTCTTTTGTATAAATTTAGTTTTGTTTGGATTCGCTGATATTTACCATGCACGTTTTGCTTGGTTGTATACTAAAAATGATTAAAAGAAGAAGAAGTAGGAAGGAATTAAATTAAAAACAGAAAGATGCGTATTTTATAGAGGGAAATGGCCAAAAAAGAAGTAATGAGTCTAATACGTTTTTTTTTTTACTAGATCTGAAAAAAAATAATCGTAATTACTAGCAAACATAATTTTGTAATATTTTATTTTATAATTATATTATTAATATAAAGTATTTATCAATTTTGTTGATGATTAATATTTGTCAAAAAATTTGTCTTTACTTAAAAAAAATAAAACATAATAAAAAAAATTATAAATATTTATAGGAAAAAATAGTTTTTTTATAAACTAAAATTAATCTATAACACAAATTTAAAAGATAGAGAAATTATATGAGAAAAATTGTACAAATTAACTTATATCTAAACTTATCTTAACTTAAAAGTTCTTTTTTTTTCTCTGTTTATGAAAAAAAAATGTTTCAAATAAATTTTACGTCTAAGTGTAAAATCAAAAGCATGTTTTAGTGTAAAAAAAAAACTAAAATAATGGGTTTATCTAAAATAATCGTTTATCTTATTTTTAACAATGGATTGTTTTCCCCATATGTTTTTGTTACCTCTTTTAAACAAAGTATCTCCAAAATTACTTTATTTTATGGAATCTTACCTTTTCTTTTCTTCTTACCAAAACAATAAATAATAAATTTACTTTAGCCGTGTCTTTTACTTACATTAGTATCTTTTTATCGTGGGTCAATTTTTTAAAAATGATGGATTTTGCATTTTAAATTTTCGGTTATAACTAAGTTATACATTCATATACGACTCTCATAAATATATATATATATATATATATATATATATATATATATATATAAAGATTTTTCCATATCATATTTTTTTAAGTCATGCTTAAATACATAATTTCAATAGAATTTTCTTTATTATTAAAATTATTATTTAATTATCACTTTAATTATTATTTTTTATTAATATTAAAATTGTTAATTAATTAACAATTCTAATTATTTTTTTTATTAAAATTGTCAATTGATGGCAAACTTTAATTTATATATTTTAGTTTATATTACTTTTACTTAGTATAAATTTGATTTTAATATTTATTAAAATAAAAAAATAATTAATTATTATTTAGACATCAATAATATTGAATAATTTTAAAATATATTAAATTATTAAAAAAATATTAATATGTTATGTAAAAAATATATACAAATTAAAAAAATACAATAAATATTAAAAACTTGAATAAGTAAAATAGAATATAATAAAAAATTAATGTTTTGAACTTGTTTCACATTATTAAACGAGATATCAAAGTAAAGTGCATATAAGACACCATTATCAAAAGAAAGAAATTACTAATTTACTTAGAGGAAATGATAACAAGGAAGTGTATAGATCAAAACTACAGTAGAAAAAGTTTTGAGTTTTATGTCTAAGAGGTATCAAATTTTTAGTATCGCGAATATCCTGTAAATTATACAATCAAATAAAATGACCGATGGTGTGATTGTAGAAAATTTCGATATCTCTTGTTTCTTTGCTCTCTTATACATTTTTTTCAAAATAAAAATAATCATTGTGATAACTATCCAATGCGACAATAAAAATGTAAAATTTCATTTTCTTATATACTATGTGCATATTTTTCTCATTAACATATTTATATTTTTTTTAACAATTTAATAAATTTAAAATTTATTTAATATGATAGAGTCTAAATAATAATTAATTATTAGTTTTTATTAATTTTTAAATATTAAATAAAACTTCAAATATTTTAAAATAATAATTTAATTTAAAAATATATAAAGTAATCAGCAACTTTAATATAAAAGAAATTAAACTAAAATCATCAATTAATTAGGCGACTTAAACATAAAAGAAATTGAACTAAACTCATCGTTCAATTAACAGATTCAATTTAAAATAAATTGTTCTAAAATCGTTCATTAGCATACAATTTAAAAAAAAATTATAACATGAAAAAAATCGTCCATCTACGACTTCATAAATAGACTTTTTCTTGATAAAGTCGTTTATCAAAACATTACTTATCCATATTCAAAAATTTTAAAAATTTATCTATTTTAAGAATAAATAAAGCAAATTGAACCAGTGTCCATCTTTGCGAGTCTTTCTTTATAATAGGAACCTTATGCCTGAATCTTGAAAATAATTTTTTTTTATTAAAAAGAATAGAGAGATATGTATCAGAAAATATGACGAAAGTAGGTCAACAGAACTATTTTTACCTTTAATTCCATAGTGAATAATTGAGTTATACTTGTTAAAATTATTTGTTCAAATCCATGATTGTTGTATTGTTTGCATTCCCTGATAATGAGGAATGTGAGTTAGATTTGTTCACAAGTAACCGTAACAATGATTAGGTGTTTTTTTCTTTCACCCATAACTCTGCCGCGAATTGTGACTCCGAGGATCAAGGCGTAAATGTCTACCAACAAGCACCACAATTCTCCGCTTTACGAAACTCCTATCCTCTCTTTTAATATTATACTCATTTTCCTAATCTAATCCATTGTTAAACACTTAATTCTTTCTGAATCCTGAAGATAATCTTTGGACTTGGACTTTTGAACGAAGCGTTTGCAAATCACGTGACGTAAAATAACACTCATACATATACACCCCCTCCACTTCACTGCGTGTGCATCATCATCATCATCATCATTTATTGTACTCACATTACGAATCCGTCAAACTCAAAAAAAATCTTAATTTATGTTGCATTATGAGGTAGAATTGAGTTTTTTTTTTTCTCTATGATTATATTAAACATATTTTCTCTTCACTTTTAAAGACATAAACAATTATTATCACCACATATTATGTTAATATATATATATATATATATATATATATATATATATATATATATATAATATCAGAAATGTGTAAACTTATATTTCATAGTATAAATACATTTATAAATGGAAACATATCCTTTATAGTCATCACTGTCAAAATTTATTCCACGTAGGCTTTCACAAATAAAATCAAAATATTCTAAGTTTTTTAGTCCAAAAAAAGAAAGAGAGATAGTATTAATCTCTTCCTAAGTTTATAAATCAACGTAACATAACACAAATTATTTTTAGCCAAGACCAAAAATCCCATTTTAAAATATATTTGGACGGATTTTTTTTAACTGACTTTTTTTTTATGAATGCACAAATTAAAATTTAGTTTATACCTAAGCTAATTTTAGATTATAAAATAATCATTTTTCCTCTAAAAGCTTTTTATAACGAAAACAATTCAAATATACGTTTTAACATCGTTATAATCTGAGATTTAAATAATTAAATTCTTTATATTATAGTTCTTATTTTATATCTCAACTTTTTACCACTGATACTTTGAAGTTAAATCTTGTTAATATTTTAAAATTTCACTTTTTCCTGCAGATATTCATATCTTTCTTCTTAATTTCTTTAAGAAAACATGATACTTACCAATGTATTAAAATTCGACAATATGTATTAAAATTCGACAATATGGCATGTGTACAAATGGATTAAAGAATGCAATTAGATAATAAAATATAAATCATGTATGTTAATCTCAATCATATCATTTAATTAATCGTCTCATAAACATATCATATTGTTTGAAAAATCTAAATATAAGTATGAGTAAGAATAAAAAAATTAAATAACCTAAAAAAATAAGATTCATAATTAAATATCTTAAGATTTTAAATTGAAAGTAATTTCCATTAATATTATGTAAGTTTCACTCATGTTACATTAATGGTTTTTTTTTCCTTGAAACATCCATTAGTGAAGTCAAATTATTTATGTAAAAAATAATAAATAAAAAGAAATTTTAGATCGATGGGTTAAATTAAAAAAAATAATAATAAAGTACTTGAGGTAGAGAAAATCTTGATAAAGAAAAAAAAATTGTAGTGAAGCCCTTTATTCTAATATTTGAATGAGATGATGATTATTTTGGACTTTAAAGTATTCGGCGAGGACGGAGCTCAATTTGGTGGAAACGTGGATAAAAATGCACACATTATCCAATGACACAAACCAAAAGTATCCCATGTGCAAAAAGAAGGGAATCTCAACTCAATTCCTTTGGCCTACAAATGTGGAACTCAATGAATAGCTGGCCAATGGTATATTTTAGGGAATGAAAAAAACTCAGTAACTGACTATGGTTACTAAGAATTAAAAATGGCAATTATTGTCGAACATGGATGCCACCAAGGCCAAAACAGTTGACAACATAACCACTCTCACACTCCATTCTCAACCCTCCACCACCGTCCTATATAACACCCCTTCCTCCCACCAACAAAACATCCTCAAATCTCCAACACAACAAACTTCAAAATGAGGCATTTCATTCCAATACATTGTTTTTTCACACTAGCTTTGTTTCTGTTGCTAAGCACAACCACCCATGCCGATGCCGTAGTGTTCCCAACCCAAAACCAACCCAGAAGCTTTGCAAGCCAATTCCTGATCCCCCAGAATGCAGCACGAGCGTTGGTGAGGCAGCGTCCCTTGGTGTGGGACTCCAAACTGACACGCTATGCCCGGTGGTATGCGAACCAGAGGCGCAATGATTGCGCCCTTCAGCATTCCAATGGGCCTTATGGTGAGAACATATTCTGGGGCAGTGGCACAGGGTGGACGCCAGCACAAGCTGTTACTGCTTGGGTTGAAGAACGTCAATGGTACAACTATTGGCACAATTCTTGTGCAGGTGGACAGATGTGTGGACACTACACTCAGATTGTGTGGAACAGTACGAGGAAAGTTGGTTGTGCTAGCGTTGTTTGCTCTGGAGGGCAGGGCACCTTCATGACTTGCAACTATGATCCTCCCGGGAACTACTACGGAGAAAGACCTTACTGAAATTCTGTAATCCAATCATAAGCCGTGAGACAAGTCAACAATCCCATAGGATCCTGCCCATGTTCATCTTCTCCTCTGGCATATCAGTCCTGTCTGTTTCCCATGTGGGTTTAATTGTAGCTCTGTCTCCTGTGTTGAATCGTGTAGCTACTTGTATCCTTGCCTTTATTGCTGCTATAATATAAGCCTAAATGTCTAATAGTAACATGTTTTCTTTTCTTTTCTTTTCTTTTTGGATTTTCTTTATCTAAGCCGATTCGGAAACCCCAATAGTTGCTCTTGGGAACCAGTTGTTATATTTTTTAGCTTCTACCTAGATTTGTGTCGTACAATGGATTCATAAACTTCTGATAATCCACTTTTTCTTTTTACTTTTTTTTATGTTGACGCTGATGCACTTTGATGAAGAAAACTTTCGAGAGCTCGCAACCTAAACCGAAAATATTTCTTGATTAAAGAAAAAGAGATTTTAATAGAAGGAAAACATAATTATTTGTGCTTAACATTTATAAAGATGGTAGATTTTAATTAACTTTTGTCTTAAATACAGGATAAAAATATTAATTACTTTTTATTTTATTAATTTATTTATTAATTTTTCTCTCTTAATTGTTATGACTTTATTAATCTACTTATTGAATTTTTTTTAATTTTCATCTACTACTCATGATGTCTATTTAAAAATAAAAATTGAATAAATAAACTAATAAAATATTTATTAATTACTTACTTTTCTTTCACTTACACATAAAAAAAATATAAAATAAGAAATGCAATAGTTTATCTTTCTATATTTTTTTATTCTTTTCTAACTAGTTTTTTGTTTTATCTTGGATTTATTATTTAATAATAATAATAATAATATTATTATTATTATTATTATTTATACTATTTTCTCTGTATACTCCATACGTTTGTAAGAAAAAAAAAGTAATGACAAATATTTAATTTATATTTTTTACAACCATTAATAATAGTGTGTTTTTCACATTTTTTTAATCAAATATCGTAGTCCTATGCTAAAGGTAATCTTAATTTTATTTTATTTTTCTCCTTTTTTTCATTAAAAAGTGTCAATAATTTTTTATTTGTTTTATTTTTATTATATGAGTGAATAAGTTCTTAATTTTATTTTATTTTGTTATTATTATGATATTTTCCACTCAATAATTTTGTTGACTTGAATAAACGTTTAACTTATGAAATTTATGATTATTTAAAAAAAGGTTGATTGATTTAAATAAAAATTAATAACAAACATTTTGGAGAAACAATACAAAAGATTTTTAAGTTTATAGTTTATAGTTTTTTAATAAGATAACGTGTGAAAATAAAAATAAAAATAAATATAGACAATACTTTACCAAATATTAAAAAATTATAAAAATTTAAATTTTATATTATTATCTAAATTTTAGATTATTAGTATTATATTATTATTTAATTTTTCTTTTAGTCATTTATTATTTTACATTTTTATAAAGAAATAATTAACATTCTTAGTATATGACTTTAGTGTACAGATTTCATAAACTATTTAATTATTTATTACATCAAATACTTAATTTTTTATATGTATAAATTGATAAATGAGCTACTCCATTTAGTTTGATACAATCTTATGGGTAAAAAAAAATTGATAGTTTAGGTTTACATTTAAAAAAAAATATATATATATATATATATATATATATATTAATTTAATATTATGTTAGGTCAAATGATTAATAGGTAAATTTTAATTTAATTAAAAATAACAAATATTAATATATTTATATAAAAATAATTAATTAAATAAATTTTAAATTATATTAATAAAATTAATTTTTTATTTTGGACATAATAATTTAATATATAAATTAGAAGAAAAAATATGTTTAGTTTAAAATAGTTAAAGACATATATTCATTATTGTAATTTATTTTAATAATATAATCATTTAAAATAATAATAAAAACTTATTATTATATTTATTTTTAAAATAAACCGATCTTATCAAATTAATTTATATAATATATATATATATATATATATATAATAAAATATTATTATTTATTTTTATTTAAAAAATATTTATTATTTTATAAAATAGACTATTCACATGCCAAACGGTTCTTAACCTAAATTATTTAGATTAAAAAGATATAATTAATTTAATTTAGATTATAATTTTTTTCTTTAATTTAACCTATTTTTCTAATATTTCGTGTATTTTCATTGAAATAATTTTATTTAAACACTATACCGCTAAATTTTATATAATTATATTGATTTCAGGATAAAAATACTCTTTTGTCTCATATCTTATAATTAGTTTAGCTTCCTAAGTTTTAGAAAATTACTTTGATATCTTATTAATTAAAATAGCTTTTTTCTATTCGTCTGGTTGATTTTATCAATTTAGTGATAGATGATAAATTTTAAGAGATATTATATTATTGATGTTTTTAAGTTAATTAAATTTAACATTTGTTATTGTAAAAAAATTTGACAGAAAGTTAAATTTTTTTCTGTTTTTGTCATTGTGTATTTTCAACAGGAACAGTAATTAAGAAATATTTAAGAATAAAATTATAAGTCAATCAATATGACCTTTAACTTAATATTTTAAAGAATTGAGTCTATAGATTTTTATATCTTACTCATTTTTTATATTTTCATCAAATATGATATTTTTATTTCATAGTTGGATTTCAATAGGCATTTTCATTACGTGGAATCTCGTGTTTGAAGCCAGTGCCTTCAACTCAAATTGTAACCCTGAATTTTCCCTGACTAAAGAAGCATATGAATGAATCGATCCAGAAAAAAGAAAATATTGGTCCACATTAGATGGGCCACTTTGAACCCAAAATGACAATGCTCAACCACCCTTAATTAGGCCCAAGTTAACTAAAAGCGCCCATAAGAAATTAAGGTACTAAAATGGTGAGTTGAGGTGACGAAAGTCAAGTAACTCCATGAGTAGAAGAGCTCAACCAAATCGATCACATGGATTAACGAAAGCAATTACTAAGGATTATTGAAGATGGTGGTAATGGTAATGTCAGTTTAGGTGGTTCTCGTAATTAACCAGTGGATGGCAATGCTAACAACATGTAATCTTCTATGACTGAAATAATTTTTTTACTGTGTCACGTGTTTTCTTATAGATTAATTTAACTTAAGATAACGTAATTATTGCTAATATAATAAGTGAGATCAAGATATTTAATCATTAAGTCGACAACTCAAGCTGGCATAGCTGACAAATCAGATACAACGCACATGGAAGGACAAATATTTTATTTCACTCTTGACCCAAGTTTACCGTGAAGGAACAGATCCCAACAACTTTTTTGTACTTTGATTTGTGATTGCCTCAAGTTCTGATTAATGATTAATTTAAGTAATTACTGTCAGAACGTGGAAAGAGAAGTTATTTTGGGTATTTTTTTCTCTGTAAGGAGTATAATATTTATTTTTTAAATCATTTTAAAAAAATTTCTTTTTTATTTATTTATTAGGTATTATATAATAGTTAGGTTATCTTATTTAAGAGAGAATATTATTATTATTATTATTTTAGATTTAAAAAGATATTATAATTTGTATCATTAATGTATTATATAATAATAAGTGAATTTTTTTTTATTTATAAGAAAATATTATTTATTTATTTTTTAATTTAAAGAGGATATTATAATTTTTTCTCGCTAGTAAAATTTTATTATCGTTTATTATTAGTTTTGTTTCTCTTTTTTCATCTTTTTATTTTAGTTGTAAATTCTTATATAGTTATTTGATTCCTAATAGTGGTATCGGAACTGATGATTTATTCGATAACTGATTCGGTTGAGTAAGTTGAACGGTGATACAAGTAAGATCATTACTAAGTACTTATGACTAAAAAATGTTCCGCACGAGAGGGTGATATAATAATGTGAAAGAGAATCACACTTGAGGGAAGATTATTGAGTAATCTAAGTGTGATTCTAAGTCTCACACTGAGTAAGAATAAGAAAGTTGAGCAACATATAAGGAAGTATGACGCATAACCTAATGTTTTAAGGTTTTTGGTTGATAATGATGTAAATCTTTAATGAGTTGGACTCTTGTCTCATTGGTGTATTTCTCCCCTGTAAATCCCCCTCAACAGACCTAACAAGTGGTATCAGATAGTCATCTAGTTCTGTAAATTGTTCTAATAGTGAGAAGGTGTATAAGTCGATTAAAACCATGACAATAAAATATGAGATATTGTTCTAATACGCAATACTATTCATAGTAAAATGTAAATAAAATATGAGATAAAGAAATTTAATGATGAGAAAAGATAATTGTGGAGAAATTAATAACAACACTATAACAAATTTTTGTGGAGAAGGGTACAATGAAGGAGATTTGGGACTCCCTTGTTAAATTGTATTAGGTATCATTCCTAGGAGGGTCAAATATTTTATGTCAGTAATGACAATGATTACTTTAAGAGATTATGAGTATATCGCATCAAGATGAAGTCTGTGTTTTCAAAGTTGATTATGAGCATCACATATTAAAGGTGAGAAGAAATTAATAACAATGCTATAAAAATTTTGTGGAGAATGATACAACAAAGGAGATTTGGGAGTCCCTTGTTAAATTGTATAAGGTGGAAACACATATTAGACTTGGTTTATTATGGTCTGTTGAAATCATCGGTATTATCCCTTGTTAAATTGTATTAGGTATCATCCCTAGGAGGGCCAAATATTTTATGTTAGTGATGATAATGATTACTCCAGGAGATTATGAGTATATCGCATCAAGAGGAAGTCTGTGTTTTCAAACTTGATTATGAGCATCACATATTAAAGGTGGGAAGAAATTAATAACAATGTTATAACAAATTTGTGGAGAAGGATACAACAAAGGAGATTTGGGAGTCCCTTGTTAAATTGTATAAGGTGGAAACATATATTGGACTTGGTTTATTATGGTATGTTGAAATCATCGGTATTATCCCTATGAGGGCCAAATATTTTATGTCAATAATGACAATGATTACTTTAGGATATTATAGGTGTATCGCATCAAGAGGTCTGTGTTTTCAAAGTTCGGGAAAGACAAATTTTTGGACTATGCTAACAATGTGAAAGTGTATTTCCTGTAGATCCCACTATCCACAAGGTTATTCTTAGCAGTGATACAAATATTATTTTTTCTTCAAGGTGAACTTAGAGAAAAAATTAGTGTGCTTCAACCAGAAGACTTAAAGAAAAAGCAAACTTGATTTGCAAGTTGACCAAATCTCTATACGATTTAAACCTGGTGTCCAGGTGTTAGTACAAGAGATTTGATTCTTCATTATTAGCCTTGATTACAACAGACTAAGTTCAGACTATTGTACCTATTATAATAAATTTGATGAGAATGATTTTATCATTTTGTCATTGGATGACATGTTGGTGTAGGCTCCAACAAAGTTCTAATCCAGGTTTTGAAGGCACAGTTGACTTGGAAGTTTGATATGAAGAACTAGGAATCAACAAACAAGATTTTAGGGATGAAAATTTATCGGGAGATAAAAGATAGGAAGGTTTGACTTTATCAGAAGATTACTTACTGAAAGTCTTGTAGTGCTTCAACATGTAAGGGTGTAAGTCAATTTTTACCCCATATTCTATCAAGTTATCCTTAAATATGAATCCTAACAATAAAGTAGGGAGGATGAAAATGTCTCGCATACTGTATGCATTAACGGTGGGAAGTCTTATGAATATCATAATCGGTACAAAACTAGACATTGCACAAACAATGAGAGTGGTTAGTAGATCAATGAAAAATTGTGATGAAGAGCATAATTATATTATATTTTGGAGGATCAAAACTAGTTGTCAAATACTATGTTTGTTCAGGTTTTATAGGTGATCTTGATGAGTTTACCTTTATTAGAGAGACAATAACTGGTTATCCAAGTTATAGAATGTTATAACTCTGTCTATCACAGAAGCTGAGTACATGGTAGTCACCCAAACATGTAAGGAAACTATTTGAATTAAGAGGATAATGGAGGAACTCAGACATAATACAATAACAAATTTTTGTGTATTGAGATCGTCAGAGTGTTTTGCACATTACAAGAAATTCTGCCTCATATTTCAGGATAAAGCGAGAAGAATATAATAGATATCATGTCAGTAAGTTAGTAATGACAAGCTTTCATAGAAACGATCCTACTAAAGGTCTATTACAATAATAACATGAAAGACAGAAATAATGTATTGTGAATATTTAATTAATTTAATCAAAATCTTTAAGTGAGATTATGAGAACGTGAAAAAAGAAGTCCTACATCAAGGAAATTATATGTTAGTGTTTACTTGTCCTGTTATAAAAGAAGCACAATGTCTATCTTTTAAATTACCCAAAATCTCTTCCTTCACCTTTTAACTAGTGTATTATATAATAGTTAAATTATCTTATTTTCAAGAGAGAATATTATTATTGTTTTTTCCTTATATTTAAAATTATCTTATTTTCAAGAGAGAATATTATTATTGTTTTTTCCTTATATTTAAAGATAATATTGTAATTTCTTCCATTAATAAAATTTTATTATTATCTATTAGTGATTTTATTTTGGTTTCTCCTCTTTATTTTAGTAGTGAACTCTTGTATGGTTATTTCTAATAATTAGTCGCCAAAATGTATAACACATTTTTCTGAGAAACTAAATTCTCACTCACTAAAACTAGCAGTTTAGCACTGCATGATCTAATACTGTTCTTTCATTCTAGCTACATGCATATACTTGCACACATAGTTTATATACTGATAAACATAGAATATACGATTACAAATACCGTATCATGCCATGATTCTACATGATTAATTTTTTCCATATTTAGCTTGACATGACAGCGATGCACAGTGATGCACATTAATGTCATATCTGTTAATAGACAAATTTAGGATACCGACTATAATGGTTAGCGTAATTATAGCCTAGAATGTTTACGTATTTCATGTATATATTGTGCTATCATATTCAATACAAGACAGGGGTTTTTGGAAATATTTTTATCATGGTATCGGAGCGAACCAAACTCGATATCCAACGACTCGAGAACACGATCGTACTTCTAAAATGGCAGAGAGAGGAGAGACGGTGAAGAAAACACCATCGCCATACGATCTGAGTGCCAGTGATAATCCTGGAAATGTGATTACACAGGTACAATTACGAGGAGAGAATTACGAGGAATGGGCAAGGGCCGTGAAGATATCTCTGCGGGCTCGAAGAAAATGGGGTTTCATAGATGGAACTCATAAGGTACCTGAAGAAGACACATCTGAGATAGAAGATTGGTGGACAATTCAATCGATGCTTGTATCTTGGATACTAAACACTATAGAACCTAGTTTGCGTTCCACTCGTTGCATACATGGAAAACGCAAAGGACCTATGGGATGACATCAAGGAAGATTCTCGATCGTGAACGGACCAAGAATCCAAGCAGCTAAAGTCGAGTTGGCGGAATGCAAACAACAAGGAATGACTATGGTTTCCTATTATGGGAAGTTGAAAACGTTGTGGGATGAACTGGCAAATTACGAGCAAATCCCACGGTGTAGATGTGGGGGATGCAAGTGTAATATTATGACGCAACTTGAGAAACGAAGAGAAGAAGAAAAAAATTCATCAGTTCTTGATGGGGCTAGATGATGAGGGCTATGGAACTGCACGGTCAAATGTTTTGGCAACAGATCCATTACCCTCGTTGAATCGGGTGTATGGCACCATGGTGCAAGAAGAAAGGGTGAGAACAATCACCAGGTCTAAAGAAGAGCGAGGAATGATCGTGGGAATGACTATGCGAGCGGAAACCAGGAACAAGTTGCGCAATGAAGCGAAAGAAAAATCAGTTGTTTACATGCAGTGTGGAAGGAAGGGACATGACAAAGGCAATTGCTTCAAGATCATTGGTTACCCAGAATGGTGGGGAGAGAGACCACGAACCGATAAAAACGATGAAAAAAAATCAACAAAGATAGGAAAGGTGACAAATTTGCAAGTAGAAGTCGCAAGAATGTATTTGTTGGATATTCAATCGAAAAAAAGGGCTGGAAATTGTTTGATCTGGAAAGAGAAGTCTTCTGGACTTCGAGAGATGTTAAGTTTGTAGAACATGAATTCCCGTTTGCCTCTCTTGCCCACAGTAGACATTCAGAGGTAGGATTGCCTACTGTTGATGTTGGCATTGTCGAGGAAGCATTGCCTGGACTTGGTGCAATGAACAATGCAGAACACGTTGTGGAGACCGATGACGTTAACCCCACAACGAAGATGTGCCCACAACCGAGTTCGGGGAGGGCCACGCCGAATGCCATGAACAAGAGCCTCCCACCCAGATCGTTCTCCCACCGAACAAACCGACTCTATGATGACAGAACTAGAGGTTCCCGAGGAGCATACTCGTCCCCGCATCCCCGGGGAAAGGTCTTCGTGTACGAAAGCCATCTCGTGAAGCTTCGTGATTATGTCACTAACACCACTTTACAACTCGGTCCCTCAATTCGCACTCCACATTCAGCTTCCTCGGGTATGCCTTACAGTTTGACAAAATACTTAAATTGTGCTAAATTCTCCTTCCCCCACCGAACCTTTCTTGCAGCCCTTCATGCGGAGAAAGAACTCGTGCATTTCTTTGAAGTTGTTCGGGATGTTAGATGGAGAGATGCCATGGCTAGTGAAATTCGAGCCCTCCAAAGTAATGAAACATGGGACATTACTCCTCTACCTAGCAGGGAAGAAGCCTCCGGGTTGCAAGTGGATTTATAAAATCAAATATCATTCTCGATGGGAGCGTTGAACGCTTCAAAGCCCAATTAGTTGTCTTGGGAAATCACCAAGTTGAGGGGATTGACTATGACGAGATTTTTGCCCCAGTGGCAAAGATGGTCACCATTCGGACAAGTGTTGGCAGTGGCGGTAGCCAAAGACCGGGAACTTCATCAAATGGATGTCCATAATGCTTTTCTCGCACGGCGATCTTGAGGAAGATGTGTACATGAAAATGCCGCCGGGGTTCTTGGTGTCTCAAAAGGGTATGGTGTGTCGTCTCCGCAAGTCCCTTTATGGTCTTCGTCAAGCTCCTCGGTGTTGGTTTGCCAAGCTCTCAACCGCTCTTGTTCAATATGGGTTTCAACGTTCTTCGTCTGATCACTCCTTGTTCATCTTTCGCAAAGGAGATGTCGAACTGGTTGTGTTAGTTTACGTGGATGACCTAGTCATTGTCGGCAATCATCATGAAGACATTGCGCAATTCAAAGATTATCTTCATCAATGTTTTCGTATGAAGGACTTAGGGAAATTAAAATACTTTCTTGGGGTGGAGGTTGCCGGATCTCCTACAGGAATTTTCTTGTGTCAACTGAAGTATGCGTTGGACATCATAGCTGAAGCAGGATTGCTTGGAGGGAAACTCGTGTCCACGCCAATCGAAGAAAATCATCGTTTAGCATTGGGCGATGGCGAACTACTTTCCGACTCGAGTCAATATCGACGTCTCGCTCGGTCGCCTTATTTACTTGTGTTTTACACGACTCGAATTATCTTACGGTGTTCATGTCCTATCTCAATTCATGCACCAACCGCGTCAGGAGCATTGGCGGGCTGCACTCCGCGTGGTACGCTATTTAAAGGGCAGCCCAGGTCGTGGTGTGCTTTTAAAAAGAGAGAGTGACCTTCGTCTTTATGGTTGGTGTGACTCGGATCGGGCAAGTTGTCCTCTAACTCGAAGATCTCTCACCGGTTGGTTTATTTTCCTTGGTCAATCCCCGTTTCCTGGAAAACCAAGAAGCAACATACGGTTTCTCGATCATCCGCGAGGCGGAATATCGTTCTATGGCCAACACGACATGTGAGTTGAAATGGCTTCAAGGCCTTCTTTCGAGCCTAGGCATTACTCACACCGACCCTATGACTCTCTATCGTGACAACCAAGTCGCCCTTCACATTGCCAAGAATCCTGTGTTTCATGAACTGGACAAAACATATTGAAGTGGATTGTCATCTTATTCGTGATGAAATACAACACAATCATATCCAACCCTCCTATGTGTCCACTCATCATCAACTCGATTGATCTCTTCACCAAATCTCTTGGCGCCACTAAATTTGGTTCTTTTTAGGCAAGTTGAGCATTCACAACCTTCATACTCCATCTTGAGGGAGGGTGATAAACATAGAATATACGATTACAAATACCGTATCATGTCATGATTCTACATGATTAATTTTTTCCATATTTAGCTTGGCATGACAATGATGCTCAGATGATGCACATTAATGTCATATCTGTTAATAAACAAATTTAGGATACCGACTATAATGGTTAGCGTAATTATAGCCTAGAATGTTTATGTATTTCATGTATATATTGTGCTATCATATTCAATACAAGACAGGATTTTTGGAAATATTTTTATCATATACTTTAATATACATGCACACATAGTTTATATAATTTAATAGGGTCGCTCTCCAACATAATTGCCCACGGGATCGTAGTTACAAGTCATGAACACGTCTCCATCATCGCATACAACCCGTGCACATCCAATTCTTCTGGTGCTCTTCCACACAATTTGAGTGTAATGGCCACACATCTGACCCGGTACGCAGGAATTAGTGGCATAGGTGTAGTATTTCTCTTCATCAGCCCACACTCTTACTGCATCAGATGGCGTCCACGCTGAGCCACTACCCCAAAAAATATTCTCTCCAAGCTTGAAATCATTTTCTGGGAATGAATGTTCCAGTTTACAATCTGCTTTCCTTTGACTAGCCCACCACCTCGCGTATTGCTCGAGCTGGAAATCCCACATGAGTGGAAGTTCCCACTTGGTTGCTCTCACCAAGTTGTGCCTGAACAAGAACTCCAGTGACTCTCCAATGCAACCCCAGCATAGTTGCTTTGACACCCTGTATATGGTTTCATTATCAGGCCGTTTCTGTTGGGTCAATTGAGCAGTTGACGAGTTAGATTGGGGACTGACTGGGAGACTGTTAGCATTGCTGGCGAAGGTGACAAGAATTAGGAGCACGAAGAGGACCAAATGGGCTTTCATTTTGTCACTTGGGTTGGTATGTGGCACAAAATTTTGAGCTATGAACCTTAATTTATAAAGTGAACTTGGTTTCAAAATATGTGGTTGGAGTTTAGCTAGTGTTGGAGGGAGTTAGATCACTTGCGATTTCGGTGCAGTGAGGAATAATCGCCAGTTGTTAAGTGTGTGCTTAATATTTTAATATTAACTACTGCTTCTGAATGTACTAGATTTTGGAGATATCGAGCGTCAGCTAAACGCATCTCAAGTGTGGGAGTGAGGAATGTACAAGGCATTGTCAAAGATTATGCTCTGTGATCGATGATTGTAGGTTCCCCCGTGAGCCAGGTCTCTGTTGTGCCCGTGAGTTCTCTTGTCCTTATTATGGGACGTTAGTGCCCACCATAGTATGTTCTAGAATTAACCACGTGACACGTGTCACAACTCTAGTCCCAAAGCACTACCACATGTCTAATGTAACAAACTAGTAGTTTACAAACTTGTCCAAGAATTTTTTGTCACGAGTGAAGTAAAAATCAGTTGTTCACATCTCTGTTGTAAAAAACTAGCAGTTCACAAACCGGAGCAACATTGCATGTCTCATTTATAGTATGTTTATTTCAATGTGATATTTTCATATTTGTTATAATTTTATGTGAAATAAGTAATGCGATTTTCATAAAATTGACGGTGTCTGTTTTGTTTGATTTTTATTTACAATCATGTGGTTGATGCCACAAAACATTTGATATCCTGAAGCATGAGATCAGTGCTTTTAGTACAATTATTAAGGGTCCTGATGGTGGTGTTTTAGTCAGTATGCTATGTCTGATACCACAAGGGCTTGCCAAGTACAGAGAGTGAAGACATGGTGACTCAGAGGAAATTAGGTTACATAGGTAAATCCAAGACTAAATGTGTCTCGGCTTGGTAGCCAATTCTATGTACAAGGGTTGCTCCGGTTATGAATCATGCCAATAAGCTCAATTCAAAGCTACAGTGATTTTCATTCCCAACCTTTGCTTACATCAGACAATTTAGTTCTTGACTTTCATCAGTCAATTTGGTCTTCAATACCAGGGACTAAACAAATGGCCCAGCAGAGATACAGTATGCAGACGAATAGGATTACGAATTTGTTTATATATTTTTCCTGGTTTTGTGTATTACTCAATATTAAAGTAATGATTTTCTACTTTGATAATTGACAGAATTTAGCGGTTGAAATATTTGGTTAAACTAGGCCTGTATATTTGATTCACTTCCAGGGCTCACTCAAAATTGTGGGTTTACCACATTGATCACATTTATCTGAAAGAGCATTTGATAAGACCAAACTGTCATCCAAAATAACAAAGCATTTGAATAGAAAATTCATGATTGAGTCAGTATATGGCTAACCTTATTAACCATTTTCTGAATAATGTGAACCACTTCAAAAAAAGTCCCTAACTGCAATTCTCCCTAGTAACTAGAAAAAAACAAAAGAACAGGGTATTAAAATTTTGTAATTGGACACACAGATTGGCTTTGAGGCATTTGAACTAAAACTGTTGCATGTTTCATCCTTCATGTTCTGAATTGACATTAGTCGGGTGACACAAACCTTATGGACAATAAATGATAAAATAGAACACAGAAATCCCTGTCTACTTTTTTTTTTTTTTTTCAAACTCAAGTGGAAAGTGTATTGCTCACAACGTTTTAACTCTTTGAATTAATTATAGCAAGTGAATTCACATTCATTATTAGTTTTTACAGGATGTGCGGTGGAAATGCCAATCTCCGTTTCTCATTATTTTACAAAGAAGGTAGTAATGAATGAGAAAGAACACCAGAAAAGAAAATCGAGAAAGAAGAACATTTCTTACAACAATATAGGTGAAACGGAGCAAAAAAGAGATACTTATGGCAAGAAAGGGCATCCATCGATGAATGAAACACTTGGTTTCTTCCTTGTCAAACTCCATGAACTTCACCAAAAAAGGAGACATGGATTCACTCAACTTTCAAGAAGATTTATAGCCACGAAAAAGTTTTTCATTTTCACTCTTTGGCTCTCCGTAGCTGAAAAGGATAATTGAAAATTGCCAATAAGCATATGGTGGCAGTCAACAATATCATCATCATTGAGTTATAAGGTATAACTACCATCCAGCATCGTGTTTTTTTGTGTCAGTGGCACATTGATCTACAGAATCTTGGCTTTGTGATGGCACACCAGGTTTTTGTTCTAGTAGATTTGATAGACTTTCACAAAACTGATAAACAAAATAAAAATCAGTAACTAAATTCATGAGCTTGCATATGCAGCTTTTAGAAGATGTTTTCTTACTTTGTTATACATTCTTAGATCTCCGGTAGATTTTGATATTTCTACAACACAATGAGTTGGAGCAACTTCAATCACCTGATAATTGTCACAAATATACGCGAAGAATTTAACTTTCTTTAACAATGAACAAAAAAGACAAGAAACTAGGAACATTATGATCCAATTTGGATAAACTGATTGATTTGAAACACAAATAAACAATAAAACAAAGCATTTTTTTTTCACAAATTAAAATTAGCTTATGAAAGTAAATAAATTCATGTCCAATAAATATTCCGTTTATTCTTTTACTTCTCCAATTCTTATGGCAACTTTAAGTTTGAATTTACTATGAAAGTTATCAAACATACACTACAAATAAGAATTTTATGAGTACTTTGAGTGTCAGATAACTTTACTTACCTAACTATTTATCAATAAAAAAACAAGTAAAAGTACTTATGATATAAAGCTCGGGAATAATATAAAAAAGGTTAGGTTCCTTAACTATAAAATTCAGAAAATTTTAATATTAAAATTTGGAAAAAATGAAAAATAAATAAAATTCGTAGCAATAATTTTTTAAAATAGTAAAATACCTTAACGAAATATCATGTCCCTCTTAAATTTTTTAATTATTTTAATTGAATGTTAAAAAACTTATTTATATCATTGAATACCCTTAAACTTTTTTTTAAATATTTTAAATTTCTTAGATGGTGGAAAATTGAGATGTTTTAAGACAAAAATTTGTAAACACACAAAACAAAATCTTGTAACTTGAAAATAAAGGATGAGAAATCAGATTAGTTTACATATAAACGAAGTAATTTTAGTAATATTGACTGAAAAATAATTATGATTTACTATAACTTGAAAATAATTCTTAATATTAGTAAAAACAATATATCAATTTGACGATAATCTAATCTTGATTAAGTTAATAATATTCCGATTATAATCGAATTAACGATAAGTTCAACCAAAAATAAATTAACAATATATTAATTAAAAGAAAGTATATATATATATATATATATATATATATATATATATATATATATCATATGTATGTGTGTGTGTCGAGGGAAAAATGAGTAAAATTTTTAAAATTTATTTTTTAAGTGAATTTGAAATTCTTTAACTTTAAATAATTAAATCACTTTTATAATTTTTTTTTTTGTAAATTCTATACTAAAAAAATATTTTCATGTATATATTTTAATTATATATAAAAATAAATTACCTTTTAAAAATTTCCTTCCTAAAACTAATATATCAAGAAATTTGTTAGAGAAATTTTTAATTCAAAATCTTTCATGATTGATTTTTTCAAGGAGGACTACATGTTACAATATGTTACATATTATAAATAGGAATGAGAATTTGGAGTTCATTCTTCTAATGTTTCATTCCAGATTGAATGGTGTACAGAATTAGTAGGTTGGAAGTCTTATTTTATTATTTTTCATTTAAATTAGATATTAAAATATTTTTATTATTTCTAAAAATAATTAATTAAATATATTAAATTATTATTTTAATTTAAATATATATAATTAAAATATTGTTAATATTTAATATTTTATTATATTTTACAAATATATTAATAAAAAACGAAAATATACTCATAGATATATCTATACACATAAAAAAAAACTCACACTCATGATTGCCTCTCCCTTCTGTGATTAAATAGAATTTTTCAACACGTTAATGAAAAATTCTGTTGTCTCTCTTCTTTTGTTTCCCTTGGCTTTGTTTTTTCTTCATAATCTTGAATCAAAGCATACTATCAGATTGGTTAAGATTAATTGCCTTCGAATTGAACTGTTTTAAATTAAGATTAACTCATCCAAAAATTGAGATGTATAAATTAATTTAGACAAGAAGCTTAATTTTTGTATGCTCTTATTTCCAGACAAGCCTATATAGCCATAAAATGATTAAGTTACCTGGGCTGATAAGAATGATTTAGAACACCTGGTCATGGTCTGATTCGGTTGCATTTTTATCTGGCATCAAGAGTGAAAATTCATTTTGTTGCCAGATTCTGACAAAAGTAAGGTGAAGTTTCCAATATAAAAGGTGCATCTTTACATGTATACATTTCAGAATCAATGTACCATAGTTCAGGCATGCATTTAATTAATAATCGGAGTAGAATTGTTTATACCTTAAAGTTGCTAATTTTCTCTACTGACATTCTTACATCTGTTGCAGCAGCTTCTATTTTTTCTATCGTTTCACTGATATTGTGTTTGGATCCCAGCCTTGTTCGCTGCTTTTTTTCATCCTAAACAAGAAACTCGCTACATTAGCATTTGTAATGGTTAAATAACATACACAAATAAGTTGAATCCTCTTCCAGATTACCTGTTCTAGAAAAAGGCCAGATAGATCTAGGTCCTGAGACATGGCTATTAGTTGAAACGCATTAATGAAACTTGATGACTTAGATATCGTTGTCTCTCTGACATTTTCCTGTAGCACAGATTATTAGGAAACTGAGTTTTTCTTTAACTATTTTCAAACCTTCTACTTGCCAACAAATTACCTTAATGGAACTGAAAGCAACATCAACATCCTCCAAGTTAATGTTCTGATCAAATTCGGAAGGACAAACAGGCTTGTAATCTTCTTTAAACCACGGATCTTCAATAATTTCTGGTATAGTTATCCGCTGCATGAGAGATAAGGAGGGGGAAGGGTAAGAAACCATGATCTATTACTTACACTTTAAAGTACAGTGCTGTAGTAGTTCCTGAATTTCTACCTTTTCAGAACGTGGTTCAAGTATCTTGGCAATTAGTTTCTTTTGACTCCGAGTAAACCATGGGGGACATTTATATTCTGACTTCCATATCTTTGCACACATGAAAGTTATCAGAAAATGTGAATTGTTTGTAACAGACACTATGTGTTTTCTTTTTTATTCTTTTCACTCTTTACTATACCTTTCCATATAAGTTCATCAAATTCCTGTCGTTAAATGGTAAATAGCCCGCAAGAAATTCAAAAAGGATCACCCCACATGACCAAACATCAGCAGCTGCTCCATCATACCCCTTGCTCAATAAAAGCTGCACAGGAAGGTGTTGTAGAATCAATGTACACATGCCAGTCCTTTTCTTATGATGTTTCAAGGAAAGAGGAAACCCCCTGATTAACCTTACCTCAGGTGCTACATAACATGGGGATCCACACCGCGTTGTTAAGACATCATTACGCTGATGCTGATGTATCCAAATTGGGCTCAGTCAAAAAATACTTATGATGATGGAACTAAGGATAAGATTCAAAGGAACGAAGGTACCTTTTGTAATGCACTTAATCCAAAATCAGACACTTTGAGATTTCCCTTGCTGTCAAGAAGCAAGTTTTCTGGCTGCAATAGCATGCCAAGATTCAATTACGTTTCAACACTCCATTGCAAAGAAACAAACCAGGTTGATCTGAACTTACCTTGAGATCTCGATGGTAGACCCCTTTGTTATGGCAGTAGTCCAGGGCATCAATAAGTTGCTGGAATAGTTTTCTTGCTTCATGTTCATTCAACTTCTTTCCATATGACTGCATATCAATTACCAAAATTGAAAATTGAAGAAAAATAACTAAGTACATATATAATGTATTAATGTTTTGGTGAAACTGATGATTCTCACCAACTTGTCTAATAGTTGTCCTCCTGATAGATATTCCATCACGATGTATATCTTCGTTTTTGTGCCAACAACCTGTTTCAAGAAGTTCATCGCGGACATAAAGAATTGACAAGGGGATTTTGTATCTTTAAACTTCACTAAAATTCTAACGGCAGCAAGTATATGTATGTATGATATATACCTCATGGATTCTAACTATATTGGGATGATGCAGAAGTTTCATTGTTCTGATCTCTCTTTTAACCTGAAACATGACATATCCTTGATTAAGAAAGGTAAACAAACTGTTACTTGCTAAAGGGAAAAATACTAAGTTGAGGTTTGCCTGATTCTTAAGATTGTTTTGTAGGATCATATGCTTATCAATGACCTTGACCGCAACCTTCTGACCATTGCTGCCATCGACACCAAGCTTAACCTTAGAGAATGTACCTTCTCCAATTGTCCTACCAAGCTGATACTTCCCAATTGTTTTTTCAAACCCCATTACTTTCCCAGTCTATCACACTGGTTCTTTACAAGTTATTATTCCTCTCTGTGATCTGTATAGCGAACTCTATGCTATACCATTTTGCTTTGACTCTTCGGTCTGAATCCAATTTAATGGAAAATAACCATTATTTTCGGTGATTAGCTGGTCCTTCTTCAACCACAAAAAATGTTGGTCCTTGTTGAACCAAAATAAATGGCTAAATAAGAGTTTTCTTAGATAATAGTTAGTTAAATATATTGTGGTTTTTGGGAGGTCATGGAAAATTCAAATTTAGGAACGTGCTTCCATAAAAACATAGAAGGGAAAGTAGAAGTGTGCACTGGGGTAGCTAGTTTATTAGAGTAAGGAACGTGATTTGAATGGTAGTTAGGCATTGAAAACAATAATTTCGACTTCAAAAAACAGAAAGAAAACATTATTTGAGTTTTACAAAAAATTAAGAAACCATATCTTTCGACAGGTAATGAATATGGTATGGTATTCAATGATTTCATTACATTATGTGGTCGACTGATTGTTATGAAATTCCAATTTTTTTGTGTGGCTAATTTTGATCTAGTTAGTTACTCATTCAATATTAGTTTGTTTTCAATTTGTTACTTGTATTTTATAGTATTTAATTATTAATATAAAGAGAAATTACATTTAATATTTCCTTCAAAAATAAACATTCCAATGTATTATTATTTTTTAATAAAATATATTTAATTTTTTTATTAGAACGTGAAGTCAGTTTTTTTAGTCTTGCAACGAGTTTTTCAAATATATTAAGTCAAAGACTAATCTTATTTATGATGTTGTGATTGAAGTTAACCTGACAAAATTTTACATATAGTCAAATCAAACACAGGTTTTTGTTACGTAAATATTCTCCCTAGTTTGTAAATGGGATTTAAGAAGGCTTAGGAAAGATAGCAATCTTCCAATCATTAAATTATTTGTTTTTTATATAAAAAATTCTTTAATTTATTTTTTTAATGTAATTTTTTTATTTTTAATAAGTGTCCTTGCATTAAAAAAAATGAATGTTATTTATTAAAATGATTTGAGAATTCTAAAAAGTGTGCGTATCATTTATCATTGTCATATAAGAATTAAACAAAGTTACTCCAATTATAAATAACAGCAGTATGAATATTTTGTGTATATTTAATTATTTTAATCAATAAAACTTTATTTTATAATGAGCTAAATTATTAAAAAGTAAGTTATTTTTAGCTGTTTTTCTTATAAAAAATTATTTAAATTTATAAAAAAATCATTTTTTTCCATATTTATAAAAAATTTGCAAGAAAATTCTCATAAAATATGTGATTTTTTAGTAATTAAGTTGACTTACTCGGAATTAGAAAAAATAAATCAACTTAATCTAGTTATTTTTTAATAAGTAAAAAATTTTATAATTAAACTTGACCTATTGTAAGTGGATTGATCACTTAAATAAGTGTATTTTTTAATTATTTTTTATTAAAATAAATAAATTATGTGAGTTGACTTACTAGTATAAAGAAGCTTATTAATATAAACAAGTTAGGTGGGTTACAAAAATATTTGTTCTTTATGGATATCCACTCGTATGAATAAAAAAAACATATTAAAGATTAAAAAAAATACGTCCTCAACTTAACTCAAACCCATTTAATCTTACAAATTAAGTAAGTCAGACTTATTTTAATCTTTTATTAAAATGATTAAAAAAATTAAAAAAAAATATTCATAATAAATTAGGTTTACTCACCAATTAAGACTTATGTTAACATCTGTATATTTCATATGCCAAACAAATTTTTATTGATTTTCTTTAATAAAATCTATAATATGTGTGGATTGTGAAAATATATAATTTTAAAACATTTTACTGATATTCAGATCTGAAAGTTATATTAAAAATAATATTGAATTTTTTATTAATATTAAAAATATATAAATATAATTTAAAAAAAATATTTTTTCAATTTAATCAATTTTTCTTCATTAAGATTAGTTATTAATAGTAACTACAAGTGGAAATAAGTCATAAATCTATGACCTAACTTAATTAATATCTGCTTTATTATAAATGTTAGGTTAAGGATTTCTTGAATAGAAATGTTATATCTTAAAAAATATCTTATAAATGTTAGGTTAAGAATTTCTTGAATAGAAATGTTATATCTTAAAAAATATTTTGTTAGGCAATTTAGGCTCCTTCTTTAAATATATTATTATCAAAAAATTATAAAAATCCAAAATTAGAAATTGGAATCAGTGTTATTAAAACTGGAGAGACCATTTATTGCATCAAGACACTAAGTTAAATATGGGTCATAAATTGACCCTATTTACATTCAAAAAATAAAATTTATTAGATAATAGATAATATTATTTTTATAAATCTAACATTACCTTTGTTTTATCACAATAAAATATTAATATATGAAATGTGAGTTTCACTATGTCAGCAGTTATTTCTTTAACATCTTATATGTATCCAAATTTTTTGACACTCCAAAATATTTTATACTGAAGTAATTAAGTGGAGTTTGTCAACAAGGGAATAAACTAATACTAAAAAATAAAGTGTTTAATAATAATACAGTTCGTGAAAAAAGACACACTAAAAAAAAAATGTTATTTATAGTGGTTAAAATTGTAGATTTTAGAAGTTAAAAACCGCTACAAATAAAATTTGTAACAATTAATATAACTGTCATATTTATAGATGTTAAAAACGATTTGTAACAGAATTTTTTTAAATGCTGGTATTTATGTCAAAAAAGAAAAACAAAAATTTCAACAGTTAAAAACCACCATAAAATACATTATTATTTTCATTTTAATTTAACATTTTGTTGCAATTTGAAATTGTTACAAATGTTATTTTTATAATTAATTTTATATTTCAACAATTAAAAACTGCTACAAAATATATAATATTTTATAATTATTTAAAACTTATTGGAGGTTTAAAAAACCAGCAAAAATTATTTAATTACTATTTTTTAATTATTTTATCAATAAATCAAAATTTTAATTATTATTTACAAATTATTTTTTAATAATTTTATAATTAATAATTAAAATACTTTTTTATTTAGAATTACTTTAAAATACCACCATAAGTGTAATAATAATTTAATCATTATAATAAAATCAATAATATAATGAAATGTATAATATATTTTTCATTTGTTTTAATGACATAAAATATTAGTTTGATTCTCACTAAAAAATGGTTAAATTTGTAGTTTTTATATATAATTCACTTTGAGAGAATACTTAACTAAATATAATTCAATATCAACTAAGATAAAATCAAATTTCATCCTAAAAGTCCAATAAAATTCATCACATTATTCATTAATAAAGGGTATCTAACAAAATGCAATGTCAATAGATCCACAAATTTCATAACATATATGTCAAACTTAATGAAAATTATTATCCAATGAGTATCCTATGATATTGACATATTTCATTCACTTGCTTCATCCTGTGAAATAAAAATAATATCATCTTAATATAGTTAAAAATATATATAAAAGATATTAAACTCCATAGAAATAATTAACAACATAATTCTATTAACACAAAATATGAAATACTTACATATAATATCAAACTTTATGAAAATCACTATCTAAAGAAGATTCTCTTTGTGGTGTTGACATATCTTGTCCACTCTCTTCATCCTATAAAATAAAGATCATAAGCATAATTAGAAATTATACATAAGATATTGAATTTTATTCAGGTATTGAATAATATAATTTCATTTAAAACAAACTATAAAGTACTTACAACTATATTACTTGTACTACCAAACATGACACCCAACTCAGGAGGAATGTGTCCTTCTTTCATTTGGATGTATGCAAGCATGACACTTTTTAATGTTTTGACATTTTCTTCAGAAGTTGCTAATTTTTCTCTTAAATGAATAACTTCCTCTTTCAATTGAGAATTTCCACTCGAATTAGAATTTGAGAAATTGCACCCTGCACTGCTAAATCTTGTGGTAGACTGAAATGCAACACTATGAAGACCTCCTAGTCCTAGACAACGTACACGCCCAGGATGATCCTTTCCCAGCACTTTACTAACGCAATCATTAGCTGAAATTTCTGTAAAATTGACACTTTGACTCATTTCTTGTGTTATTTTCTCCTGTAAATAGAATAAATACAATTGTTTGATATTCATATTAATATTATACAAAGGAGGTTGTAAAATAAGATAGATGCAAAGTCATGATATTTGACTTTAATTAAGGTAAAATCAGGTAAAATAAGCACATCCCTTTAATTACATTTTGTCTCAACAAAGTTGTTTTCAACAATATCATCAGTATGACCACACTAAATAATACAACTTAAACTCAAACATTCTATATGTTTATGATTTATGATATGATTCTGGGTAAAAATATAGAAACTGAAACAAGACAAAGTTTACCCCATACGCTGTTGAAATATGTGGTTGGAAATTGGAATCCTAGATGCAAAGCTTCAAAACCAGAAGGCATATGTATAGAAAGAGTATAATTTCACATGTTTAAACACATTGATTATGCCTGCAACATTAAATAAACAAATATTTTTCCATGATTAGATTAAAACAAAGACGCTAAATCCATCTAAAAACTCTGCATACATATTTTGGTCATAGCTCATGAAAATCATTATAAAATTGCACTGCAAAAACAGAGTCCATTGAAGTTCATATACTATATGTTTTGGATTGTCTAAAAGGCCGAATATATTTCTTTCATTGTTCTTAGTTGTAATTTTTTTTATTCATACTCACTTACTAAAAGAATATTTAAAGTAATTTTAAGAAATTTTAATGCTTTATGCCTTTCCACGTAAACATGAAATGACATATTCAGTGTTCATGCACTCCAATTATTATTCTAATGCGACATTGAACCTTATACCTCACGTTTTCACACCGGACTTTTGTAATTTCCTTGGGACTGGAACTGCGTTATATACATAAATCATATTGCCTAATGCAACAAATTATGGTCAAATATAGCAGCTATAATGAACAGAACATAAAACAATTTCTGCATATTTTTTCTTCACCTTTCTTGTATATTTTTCATAGTTAACTAACAGTTTCTGATAAGCATTTAACTTACCTATAGTTAAGTAGTTTCTAGCATATCTAACCCAAAAAATCTAGAGTCACTGATAAGTAGTAGACAAAAGCTTACTAGATCCACCTTTAGACGTAACCACTCTACCTTTGATTAGTTCCAAAGTGGCTTTAAACAAGTCAGAAAAATCTGTAAGTTTTATATTTAGCAGTGAATGGAGGCTTTATAAAAATCACTCATTTAAAAAGTAGAATGGCCTAGTGTGGACACTCTCACTTGAAGTTACAATCCATTTAAACTTATGTAAGTAGTAGAATTGGAAAGCTATGGTGATAAATATGATGAAAAGTGAAGAAAGTGATGAAGAGGAGTACAACTATATAAATGACAAGAACTTTACCTGCATCAAAGGGGTGAAAACATGAATGTGTGGGCCATTAATTATAAATTGATAGAGGACAAAAGGTCTAAAGAGTTTTGTATAAATCTAGAAAGAGCATTGTATAAATAATCTACCAGAGCACATTCTCCTTCACTTCACTTCACTTCAGTCACATTTCCTCTGTGTTTGTTTCCCATTCTCAAAGACACTTCACAAACACGTTTCAGTCCAATAATTTTATCATCTTCCATTATTTTATCCCAGTCAAATCTCTCGGCAATGCCATTCAGCAATTCTGCTATTTGCTCATATTTCATAGGACACAAGTTTCCAAACTCAAAACCAAACTTCTTATGTTCAGTACCTATTCTAAAAGAACACGTGAAAAAATCAACCATCTACAGACATACAAGCTAGTTATCAACACAAGACAACTTAAATTTTAAACCTCCAAGAAAACTAGTGAGGTGCTATATAAACTTAACTAAAAAACTCAAACGAGGAAACTGGATGCAGGACCAAAAATCGCATAATAACTGTTCAACGGCGCAAAATCTTAGAGGTAATTGTACCCTTGCACCCTACCGCACCAGAAAACTCCCCGTCTCCCTTATCCTGCGCACTCTGTCATTGCTACTGTGACCACAATGACAGAAGTGCCCGAAACCAATCCCCCACCGCCGGACCCTCCAATCCCCTCCGCATCGGACGCCGCGGAGGAAACGGCTCCGCCGGCTACAACAACTGCATCGCAGCCGAGCACCGACATCGTCGCCCCTCCGGCGTTAGCTCCGAAGTGGCAACGCCGTCCGAGTGTCCGTCTTGGAGAGATTGGAGACCAACGCGTTAGATAAAACTCTTGTCATTTTTCACAAAAATCACAAACATGTGAAATTGAAAAGTAAAACGTAAGAAGGATTAAACCTGAATTGGTGATTGAGAGAGGATATGTGACCTTGCAGTGAAGGATGAAACGTTACAGTGAAAGATGAGTGTGAAAATGAATGAAAAGGTAAAGAGAGAAAGAGATAACGAAGAGAGAAAGAGAAGGTAGAAGAAAGTGAGAGAATGAAAAATGAAAATAAATAAAAATAAAATAAAAAAATTTAAAATTAATTATAATTATTGTGTCAGTTAAATTTTTTGTCATAAATTACATTTAATTTTTACGATTTTTATAATCTGCTGAAAATAAACCTCTAAGAAGTTTTTTGTAGTGACAATACATCTCCATATATAAGTTAAAATATAATAATTATATATGATAATTATTGTGCAATAAAGAATTTTATATTAATTCTATAATGTATGTACGTAAATTTAATTGAGTCCTAATATCATTAATATAATATTATTTCTTAATATAATCATTATAAAAAAATTATGGCAATTTTTTTATTATTATATTTTTTATAAATATTTTATTATGTAATTTCAATTCTACAATACATTAATAAAATTAATTATAAATATGTGCACAATAAATAATTAAATATAAAGTCTTGAAAAAATTTATTTATGTTAGATGAATAATATTTTAACATGACACTATAATAATCATAATTTAACAAAAACTAAAATAATTTATTAATCCATGAAATGTATAAAATAAAGAAAAAAAGAAATGATACTTTTAAATATTATATTATTGAAACGTGAGCTATGACGAAGATAAAAAAACGATGAAAGAAAAAATATTTAAAGATGTTAGATAAAATACAAGGTAAAAAGTTAAAAAAAAATATCACAAAATAAAATTTAAGTTTAAAATTTAAGCATTTTTTATATAAGTTTGAACTGATCTAATAAATTATAAAAAAAAATTAATTATAAAATTGTTACGATGTAATTAATACGATGAAGAGAAGCAAAAACAGAATATATTTATTTATAAGTTTGGACCATATGCAAAATAGCTTATCATGTGTTTTTTTCTTACAATATCTTATCCTATATATTAAACCTTTATATACCCATGCTCAATCAATATCATGTGAAAGGTGTGCTACAATACTAGACTTGAAGCTAAATATTTTGTCCATGTACCCAATCCTTTCCTTGAGCAACCTATCAACAACCAACACTTGGACCACTTTTACCATCTATATTATTTATTGTAATTACAAATACTCACAATATACTATAAATATTAATCATAATTAATTATTTATTGTAAAATGCAATTTAGTAAAAAGTAATTCTACAATATTGCAAAACTTCATTAGAAAGACCTGAAGCTATGATAATTAAAAATAACCTAGTCAAATCTAAAGTAGGTTGAAGAAAAAAAAATTAAAAAAATCCCACTATACTACTTGTTTCTTTTTTGGAAAAAGTATGTATTTATTATCTGTATTTTCTTTCAAATTATTTTAATCATTGTATTTTCAAATTTATACTTTTGGTCTTCTTATTTTAAAAATGTGTAATTTTAATAATTTTTATATTTAAATATTAGAATAATTTTTTATTTTAATAGAATTGATAAAATATTTAAATATGATTTTAATCATTCTTTATGTTTAAAATTTATCTTAATATTTGTTTACCAACATCAAATTAATAAAATCATTAAATTTGTATCTTTTTAAATTTGAAAACTAATCAACCATTTTTTTCTTTATTTTATCAAACAAATTTCTTTCTTCTATTTTTTAGAAAACCACTTCACACTTACTTTTTGTACTTGTAAAAAAACCATGAATAGTCTCAAATTACATTTCTTTTCAATTTTATGTATATTCTTAAATGTAGCATTCTCAGCCTACTTTACTTTTTCTTTTCCATTCTTTCTTGGTAGTTTAATATTTTAAAATTTACCAAAAGTTAAAAATAATTTTATAATATATTTTAGATAATTATTTATAAATCTAAAATTTAAATTATATTTAAATTGTGTTTTGTCTAAAAATAAAATAGTAAGTCTCTTCTGATAATATGGTTGTCTTCTTATTTATTTAGAAGTTAAGTTTGAAGATTATAAAGTTTAAAAACTTGAGAATTTAATGTACTTTAGACTAATTCTTTATTTTCAACTATTAAAGCATCTCAATATTTCATCTATAAAAAATATTACGATCTTATATTTATTATGATAAAATTAGTACGATTATCATCTTTTATGTATTATTTATTTAAAAACTTTAATTTATCAAAATATTATTTTAAGAAAATGTTTTAATAGATTATATATATATATATTATCTTTCACATCTGGTTAAACCATATAATAATTTCGATCATATCATTATTATATATTTGAAATATATAAATTTTTTTTAATTTATAATAATGATAAAAATATTTTGAAATAAAAACGGACAATTGAAAAAATATATATATACGGATAAAAAAAATTGATTTATATGAGTTTAAAATATTTGTACAGGGGATGGGAGTGAGAGAAGAGATCCATAAACGTTAGAAATTTACCTTTATTTATGATAATTATTTTTTAACTGATATAATAATTTAACATAATAAATTATTTTAATTATTAAATTAAAAAATTATTATTTTTAAATAAGTAAATTTGTAAATTAGTAATTGAAAAGTATTATCTATTTTAAAATTTGTTAGAAAATGTAAGAGGCAATGGTAAATTTTTACAGTTAATATTTTACTATATATTTCTTGGGACAAACGAACCCTAATTGGACGAATAAAACACTTTTAATATAATTACTTATCTTTAATTTATTTATTGAATTTTGAAAACATTATCATTAATTTTACATTTTTCCATTATTTATTAATAAAAAGTGTACTCATAATATTTAATAGATACAAATAAGAAAAATAAATAATTTAATACTTCATTAAAATAATAAAATAACCTGTAAAAATCACCATTTTTTCCGAACTTTAAATATAAGGATATATATATATATATATATATATATATATATATATATATATATATATATATATATATATATATATATATATTTAACAATCAGGAAATATATATTTAAAAAAATCACCAATATTGAATGTTTTTATTAATGGTTAACAACATATATAATTTAAAAGAATGACTTATAAACATTATTCACAATGTGTAGTGTTTTTTTTTTTTTTAAGTTTCATTCAGGAATATCTGTTTCCATAATTGTAAGTAATTTTCACTTTTCATTCAGTGTTTAAAAAAGATTGTAAATATTCACTTTTTATCCTCTAAATTTCATAATATAATTTAAGTCCTCTAAAATTACAAATATACCATTTTTAATGACGAACTTAATGTTCATTATTGAGTTTTAAAGTTAATTATGTTTTAATAAAGTATTTACTTAATAAAATAATGTTGAAATCAATTAAATTTAGTTAATGATATATAAATTATGTTTAATAAGAATTGATCACGTTTGATAAATATTCTATATGTTAAATTGACACTTTATTATGTCAAGTAAATAATAATTTATATTAAAATAACAGTCAATAGATAATAATTATATTAAATACATAATATAATAAATTATATTACGTTATAATTTACTTATATCAAATGAATAATCAATTAAATACCTAGTCAATATCCAATTTTAATTTCATCAATTCACACAGTTAAAACTTTAAAAGATTCAAAAATATAATTACTGTCACTAAAGTTTTTTTTTAATATATTATAATAATATTATTGTGCAAAAATTCCGTAGGACGTTTTCTCTACATGCCAATTTTCTATATATGTATGAAGGGGAAAAATGGTTACATCAAGAAATTATTCCTCCCATATCACGCATTCTTCATCATTATTCTTCTTTCGTCTAAATTTCAAGCAAATAAAACTCTACTCGTACAGGATTTGGTGAAATGGGAGAGATTTTAGATTAAATGAGAAAGCTTTGATAGAAATACAACACAAGGTAAGGGGAAGTTTAATGTATTCAATATATGAGACTGAATTATTGGGTACTGTAAGAATAAGGAATAGAAGTGAAAATCTGAAGTATTGAACGACTGATTTTAAATATTTCTTCATGATTGAAAAGTTTGAAATTTTCTTGAAATTTTTGAAATTAATGATGAATTATATGGTAAAATTGTTGTTTTTGACTTAAATTAAACACAGTTCATGTTTAACTTGAATTTGAAACCAGTTTGGTTGTCTGATACTGAGAAATTGAAAATCTGCAAAAATTGATACAGTTATTGGATGCAAGGTTGAAGAAAGGGATAAGGGGGATTTTTGAAAAAGATCACGGGTAAAATAGTTATTTTACATCTTAGGGACATAAATGAAATTTTTGAAAATGTTCAATAGTAAAATAGTCATTTTCGGGACATATAAGGAATAATCGAAAATGTCCAAGGGTAAAATAGTCATTTAGGGACATACATGAAATTTTAAGAAAAGATTAAGGGCAAAATAGTAATTTAATGATTTTGGGATGAAAAAGGAATAATAGAAAATGTTTAAAGGTATAATTGGAATTTTAGAAATAAAGTAAAGGTATGTTCGAAAAAATAATTAAAATATAGAATGAAATTAGAAATTTTAAAGAATCAATAGTGTTATGACGTGTGTGGGTCAGACTGAGTCTGAGAGCTGATGCCCAAAATCTATCATGAGATGTTATATATTGGCTAGACTGAGCCGGAGGATTGGTGCCTAGAATTAGTCAAGATTATTTATTTACCCAAATGAGTCATGAGGACAGGTGGTCCAGAATCCGGCAGATGTGAATGATTGTTGTTATGTTTGAATGGTACTTGGGGTGATACAAAGTATATTAGTGTACTAACTATGTTGGAGGATTCATATGAGGTCCCAGATTTTACTGATTGGTCGGATCAGGTAGACTACGAGATTATGTGGTGAGAAATTGATGGGGGATGT